TGAAAGAAAATAAAGGAAAATAAAATAAAGTAATTCACCTTAATAATCCATGACGATTTGCCATCCCCTGGAGGGACGTGAGATGAATCTACTAGTTGCCACTTCCATCTCTCAACAGGAGGTTTCGGCATACGTGTCATTTCCAAAACTGCCTCCTTCTGTGTGCATCACCTCCATTACAGTCAGGGTGCAGCTTTGCACTACCCACGTTCGAATAGAACACGGGTTGCAACTCTACACTGTCCGTGCTCGAATAGAGCACAAGGCTGACGCCTGCACGGCCCCTGTTTGAATACTATACAGGGGTACAGCTTGAGCAGCCCCCGTTCAAATAGATCACAGGGAGAAGCTTTGTGTACTCCTATTCAATTACTGTACGGGGGCTTTACCTATGCGAAGTGCATTGTTGCTGGTTGAGAAATGATTAGCCAGACAATGGCTAATCACATAGCCAAAAAAAAAAAAAAAAAACCATTAACTCAATGTCCTTTTTGCATTAGTGGCACTCTGATCACACGTGGCCCTCATTTAGGGCCTGAGGACCGTTGCCCACATCGTGAGTGTGTCAGCCTATCAGAAGCTGATCACATAATAGAATAAAATAAAATAAAATAAATCATTTTCGTTGAGCGTGGCAGCGGTGAACTGCACGTGACCTTCACTTAGGGCTTGGGCACCGCTGCCCACATCATGTATGATCAACCAATCACAGGCTGATCAATAATCTAATAAAATAAAATAAATTAAAATGCTCTCTTTGAACGTGGCAGCGGTGTATAGCACATGGCCTTCACTTAGGGCCTAGGCACCGCTGCCCTCAGCACATGTGATTTACCAACCAGTAGGCTGATCAATCGCTCTCTCTGAGCGTGGCAGCGTTGTATAGCACTTTACCTTCACTTAGGGTGTGGGCACAGCTGCCCACAACTTGTGTGATCAGCCAATCATAGGGTGATCAATTGCTCTCTCTGAGCGTGGCAGCGGTGTATAGCACTTGGCCTTCACTTAGGGCCTGGGCACCGCTGCCCACAACATGTGTGATCAGCCAATCATAGG